TGCCGAAACCGCAGGATTTGCAGATATTTATACACAAGATTATAGCGGATATTTTAAAGACATTAAAGACTATATATATCTAAACGGTGAAAAATACAGACCACAAGATATTTCACCTATAAATATTTTTAGCTTTGTTACCCTAAAAATGAAATTCTCGATTTTCTAGGATGGCCCTATTACATCTTAGAAAAATTAACTATCCTATACGCAATGTTTAATTTTATAGGATTTCTTTTTTCACTTTTAAAATGAATCTATAACACATGCGCTATACACACACAAGTAAATAGACAAGCAAGTGTAGCACGCATACTATTTGCAGGATTTTTTGGAATTTTTTCTTCATCAAGAAACAAAATTCTTCTAGACGCACAAATAAAAGAACATAATACAAAAATAGCGACAAGACAGAACACGTACGACGAAGAACATAATAACATAGAAGTAACACCTACCGCACCACAGTTGCCACCCCTACCACATAACCATCCATTATCCTTAGTCCCACGTAATTTCCGAAACCTAGCAATAACACATAACCCAAATTTTAGACCAAATATATCGCAAAGTCCCGTACAACATATAATGAAACATCATTCACAAGATGATAATACATATGAACAAATTATAGAACAACCCCATACCACCGCTTTTCAGTCTCAAAATAATCATTTTTTTAGCCCACGATGAGCCGACAACTTGGATCCCTACACCGCTCAAATTCCCACCCAACCAACCTCCACACTCCAATCCCAATAATCCCACTTTTTGCTTTCCCACCACCCGATTTCCCAACTATTAATATATCATCAAGCACGAATTCGGATACTAACTCAGATATTTCAGTTTTATACTCCATCTTACAACTTAACAACCCTAATATAGAAACCCCTGACGAATTTGCAGACTCCGAACCATCTCCATCCAATAATTTTCAAACCAACTCCTCAGTTTTTTCAAAACTCCCTTTTCAACCAATCCCACCAAATAATTCACTCCCATCCGTTTCCACTCCTTCTTACGCTTCGCAAGTAACCCCAACCTACTCTCCACTTCATTCCGACCGATCATCTAATAATTCTCCAGATACCCCCCAAATTTCCCAGGAACTCGATAATTTTATCACCCTACAACAACAGTTAATACAACTTAACACCCTCACCATACATCAAACTTCATCCACAATAGAATCCTCAAACCCACCTACTCCTACACCCTCCTCAGCTTACACTGCATCATTAGCACAATCATCCACATCCACCGAAACATCTAACAACACTAACCGAGCTTATCGCACTTTTAAAAGCAAATTCCCGAACCATCCATTCCCGATTAAACCAGGAACAGCCTGCGAATATATTAATCCTCCACAACACACCAACACAAAAGATTTTCTAGCAATCACCTTACCCTCATTCCCACAATATACATTAAACACACCTAACGACACTAACGACACACGTAGTTTTGTAGATGAACATGTTTTAATGCCCACACTTCACTGGACAGCATATTACCATTTTACTAATCCCCTTTGCCTGCCACTATCTAGTACTCATGACGATATAGAAAAGAATAAAAATATGCTATATAGACTCACCGCAACACTAACACCTAGACAATTTACTTATGTAGGATATAAAAAATTACTAAAAACATTCACTGGACCTCGTGCTAACGAATTTACAATAGAATATTACGACCATAATATCATCCGAACTAATCAAGACCAATTTCTAGATGACGACCGCTTCGCTAACCCACAACTAACAGAAAAATTTTTCATCAAAACGTCATATGTATTCACACTTAATTTTTTTCATAGAAAATATGATCATATCATTTCTGAAGCACTAAATGATATTCAAGCTTACGAAAGTTTTAAAGACAAATTTCAGTTATTTTCACTAACCTTTCACTTCCTTGCACCACAAGAACGCAATTTGCACTGTTCACACGACATTATGTTACGCACTAAACAGACTCATACATATACATACTATCGCTTCATACAAAATCATTTTGATTTACATACTCCATCAAGACAACAACCACACCATCGTTTTCAGTTTCTTAACTCGCAGTACACTTCACCATTTTTTCTTAATTTCACTTATTGCATCAAGGATACTAACCTCCACGGCATCCTCCGCAATTATGACCCAGTAACACAAATGTATATATTTTGTCCCATCACGAATACCTTTAACGCCGAAGAATCCAGACCCTTCCTTATCCCACATGAATTTATCCAGCCTCTAGAAATCCCAATATTAGAATTCATTCACAATACCAAATATAATCACAAAATATATAACTTCAATCAAAACACACCTTATGAGTTTGCAGTAGGCACCGAAGAACTAAAAACCATTAAAGCACTTCAATTGCTTTGGCCACTGCTCTAAACTAAAAACATCATTCGCACTCTAGCAAAATTACTAACAACATCGGACATGATACACAACATCTTCCCCCACGGCTTTTTCCCAGACGATTAACAGGTAAGTATAATTTAAAAATATTTTTAACTAATAAATTTAAATTAGTACTAACCATTCCTTATTCATGTTTCTTTTACATTTCTAGTCTTCATATCACGATCATCTGCAAAAAATAGAAAAGAAAAATAAAAAATAAACTTGTTAAAATTCTTCTAAACTTCATTAATATTTTGCACAAAATAATATAATAAAATTCATACCAAATGTAGTAAATAAATTTATAAATTGTTTCCCCATGAAGCAGTAAATTTAATTACGATGAAAATTTATAACTTTAAATTTTCCCAAAAAAAACAGTAAATTTGAAATTCTATGTAATAAATTGATAAAATGAAAATGCAGTACTAACCTTGTGATATTTTCATTCACTCGCACAAGAATTCTATCCAAACTCGCACAGCTCGCCCACGAAGAATTGTTTAAATAATGATTTTGAGTTTCAAGTTTTAACACTCAACAACTCTAACACGCGATAACAAGTTTCAAACTTTCCTTTAACCCGGTTGGAAAGGAAGTATATACTAAACCAAACTAACCAACGCAGCCTACTAAACTCCACAAATCATAAAATAACAGCATGACTAAGAAAAGAAAACCAACGGTACCCAAACCGAAATAACCCAGTTTAAAACTGGATAATTTATTCTTTTAAAGACTATTATAAAGTCTAAGAAAGAAATAATAAAACACAAAAAAGTCGCAAGACAAACAAATACCAAAAACAATTTGATTTTTGAAAAAAGGACACAACGAAAGAAACATAAGAAAGACCAACATAAACCCAACATAAAACGTTATCACATAACAGGACCTCTCAAAGAAACAGCACGAAATCATACTCCCACTCCTGGCCTAACCCACCAGAGAGGACGTCCTGAGCATGCTCTATAGCCGGCCTAACCCACCGCGCTACATCCACGCTTTGTGGACGCACTTCTATTTTTAATAAGAGGTACTCAAGGGTGAGTAACTCTTCAAAATAACCGAACTAAAACAAAATGCTTTTGTGAAAACAACTAACTAAATTCATGATTAAAAAACCGAACTAATAAAATTTTATAAAATGTAAATCATACCTCGCAGTATATAGATCAACACACAACAACAAAGACGAACATCCAAAGACAAAATGATTCCATCACACTCGAACAAGAATGGCTAACCACAACCGATATGCCGTCCACAATCACAACTCAAAGGATTTAGAGTACGACTTGACTTCGCAGAAAAGGACTTCATTAAACTAGACCAATGACCACCTCGATGTTCAAGTATACGTGCAGATCCGAGTTACGAGGCATCCCTTTCACACACGATCTCCACGCCATTCCCAGACGAGGTTGAACACAAAACAAGTTCTCTACATAATACAGAAAAACCCGTCATAGCAAACCATTTTGAAATCAGATTGATTTCATTGGGAACACAGTCGTTGTCACAAGACAACACAACGATTGATGTCCCTAACCGAACCGGACAAGAATTTGATGTTCGCCAAATACCAACGTTCATCATCCATCCTTTGAATTGCAGAAAGATAATTCTAAAAACTCTGTAAAACCCGGATGGGTGGAACCTGATCTAAACTATATTTTATGATTGGATAAATTGGATATTTTACCACTGTAAAGTATTTAAAATTAACCAATCATAATCCATCTAACTAACAACCCACTTATTTGTAAGTGCTGAAATTACTTGTAATTTCAGCACCAGAGAGATTTGAATTTACCTTAGAAATTAATTGTCTCTCCAAGATAACTTCAGCAGCCGCAATAAACCAGTATACCCTAGATCTATTGAGCCTAGCAGAGACTAGTTAAACACCCTGAGACTAGAAAGTATAAGAGTAAGATTAGGATCGGTATTAGACTAAGAAGTTACACGAATCTATCCGGCCGAAAATAAGATAGCGTGACGAGCAGACGGTGTACCCTATCCGAAATTACTCTATGAGTTAAGCACATCGGTAATAACTCAGAAGGACAACCTAGATGCTGAGCATGAAACCAGATGCTCAGTTTCTAGAAAATTTTGGTTCTGGGAGGTTTTAGTTGATGGGAAAATTGTGCTGAGGAATTTAGTGCGCCAGTAAAAGAGTTTTCATATGATATCACACTTGAACCTCACAGGAGTTTTTTTGAGGTAACTAGAATTGCGCTGAATATAAACACACTTCACGCCATATTTGCTACTGATCTACAAGACTGGTCGTAGAATTGAGAACCTATTTTTTGTTCACTTAGCTTGAAAAAAAAATCATTTTTGCATAAATTTGAGATTGAATCAATTTTATAAAAAATAATTAAACACTTGTTCGGTCATTCTAATTTTTTTCTAAACATATTTAAAAACACAATCAAATTTTCGTGTTCATGATCAACAATTAGAAAAAACAGAAAAAATCGATTATTTATAGAAGAAGTTAGAAGCGGGAAAAATGTCTATAAGATAACGCATCATTAGCATTATCATGAAATCTGATTTGTTCAGACGGATGTTGCAACTACCAATCTAACACTTTCCAGGCAAACGGTCAGAGTTTTGGCTACTCGCCCAGGGAGTACTTCAACATCTTGTCTACTTTGGGGAACCCTCTAGAGAAAAGAGACCTGGTGTTTATCACAGTAAGAGAAAACTAATTCAAATTTAAGTAATACATTTTGCTTCGCTTTGACAAATAATCGTGAGTTATTGCTCGACAACCATTACGAGGGCCATGCTGTTTATACGAAATGCACTTTTTTGGCGTATGTCTCTCTGGAATCCGCGTATAAACTTCGAAGATGTTAATTTGGGCAGGTGGAATCCACCGAGAAAACTATCAGAAAATCCGCAAAAAAATTGTTGTGTCGCACAAATCACAGAGAACGAATAAATAAGTCAACAAAATTTGTGTATGAAATCACAATTTAATTGTAAAAATCCCAGATGTACTCAACCAGTGATACACTTACTCAGTAGAAAACAGCTACAGCGAATGTGAAAACTAAAATATTATATCTGTGATGAAACCAAGCTTGTTTTTATGAAATAAGTACCCCGTGTCCAACAAATGTTCTGATTCAGGTCTGAAATATTTGTTTCAGAATTATATTTCAGATCTGAAATAGGTTGTGAAATGTTAAAAACACGTTTGGTTACTTTGGGAATTGGTTATTTCAGATCTAATTTCAGATCTGAATTTTTTTCCTCATGGTGACTTCAAATCTGGAAAATCTATTTCAGATATATTTTGTTTTTCTAAAAATTTCTAACATAAGTCTAAAAATTTGTTTTTGTTGATTACTGCAGGCCTGAAATTTCAAACTTTTTTCCACCCATTTATTTTCTATTTTTCTATTTTTATAGCATCCCAATGTACGGGATAAACATCCTAAACCCATCAGAGCCAATGAAAATCAAAAGTTTGATAGGTCTTCCAATAAATTTTTTAAAACAGGGATATTCTGAAACAGTTGGAGAAGAAACTAAGTTTGAAAACAAAACAGTTTGTGTGATTATTAAAAAGCCCATTTATTTGCTCGAAATGCATATTTTATACGTTAACAAAGGGTTTTTCAGATTTAAATTCAGATGTGAAGTTTCGTTTTTCAAGATTATTTCAGATATGAAACATTCAAATTCTCACCAAGATCTGAAATAACAAATGTCAGATCTGAGAATTAAATATTTTAAAATAAAAAAATTCAGCTCTTGTGTAGAAAATCCGCTGGGTACGGAATTTAACTATTGTTTGTGAAACTTAACACAAGTTTTTTACATTGATGAAATCTAATCATGGAACGCGTCTCTTTAACCACCAAATTAATTTTTCGTTTGTTTACTTAAATTGCTGAAGATCCTATAATTTTCGAGTTTTTACCGTAACTGCTGTTGGTGGTTTGTATCATGAGATGACTTAGTTACAAAAACTTTTTTGTTAAATAACTGATCACAGAAAATGAAAAACCCCCTAAACTTAGCTCTAATTTCAATATCTATATCTTAAGAATGTATAAAACATTGTGTCAAACATGGTTTGTCAAAACGAAACAGAAATGATTGCTCTTTTTGTCTGATGTTAAACTGATTACTTTTGCGAGTTTTCGGTGGAAAGAGTTTAGAAAAATTAATTTTTTTTGAGATTTTTCAATATCAAAGCTGTGATTTTTGTATTGGAATTTATAGAATAATTGGCTGGCCTCAGTTCCTGGGGACCTTTCTGAGTGCTGACTAAAAAATTATTTTAGCATCATAGATAAACCATTAAAAAAAATAGTAGTCTAAAACAGCGCCAAGAACTAGAACAACTTAAACTACAAAAAAAACAGGGTGTTTCAATTGATATGTGATTTTATAAAAGCTTCTCAATCTATAACCGTTAATGCCTCAAACTTCAAACTTAGAGATAATTTGCAAAACAAGCGAAGAGATGATTATTTATCTTAACTGCCTTAGTTGATTAGCTCAACTTGGTAATTTTTGCCCGCATTTTTTCCGATTAATTCACATATTCAACGGGTTTGTTCATACGTGAATGCGATCAGCAAGTTGGTTTTTATCGTAGAAGAAAAACGAATTATCTGTTTATTTGCTATTTATGGAAGCTTAACTGAAGTCCGTTGGAGGCTCATTGGTGGATTTGCAATTGCGCCACGAGTTACATCTATAATTCAAACGAACCAGCTTGTCAGAGTTTAGAAACGTTTCCGAGGACAAAGTGGGCTCTCAAAATTTCATGGACGTAATGAAAAGGAATGAGTTTATCAGGAAACAACGACGCCAATGCTAGTATTACACGCCCTTTTGGTATCCATCTTAAGTTTCGATAACCGAAGCAGCAGCCAATCTGCAATCGAGTCGCACCACAAGCTGGAGAGTTAGGAGACATGCAAAAATGAAGCCCTAAAAGGTGCTCAAAACATGCCAAACTAAAAAAAATACGAGCTTCCATTTTAGACCTACTTTCAATGTCTGGTTTTTGAGCATGCTCCAAGCAGCAGCAGACTGGTTCGAGAGGAGTGCCCTTACGAGGCGAACCAGATTTCGACGAAACCTCCTCATCAGTGGAAGAAGTTCCGGACAGGTCGGAGACCTGGCAGAACCTCTCAGTTTGTGCCGTGTTTTTGTCTAACAGAGGTATGGTCCCAGCGCATGACCTCTGTTTGCTGCTAAGAGCTGGGGACATCGAGTCCAACCCAGGCCCCACCCGGTGCTCAGTCTGCGAAGTGACCTTGAGTAGCGGCCAACCCTTTCTTGCCTGCGAGGAGCAAGGATGCTCAGAGAAGTGCCACAAAAAACAAGACTGCAGCGGCCTGTCGAGATACGGGAGCACAGCATGGAGATGTAACTCGCACGGAGGCTCCAACCATCCCCAGATCTTCAACGTAAGACCCACCAGCGCGACGGGCGTCTGCCACGCCTGCATCGGCCCGATCCGCAATCACCAGCGCAGCCTCTTCTGTAGTGAAGCCGTTTGCATGGCCCGCAGCCGCTACGCTTCAGAAGACTGGAGCTGCCCCATCCACAACGTCGTCTCTCTTCCCCAACCGTCTCCCAGTCTCTACCGTCTCCCAGTCACAGGAGAGTCAACCCAGCGACAAGCGAACGTGCAAGGTGTGCAAGAAGACCATTGCCAGGAACGTTACGGGAGTCGATTGCCCCCACTGCGACAGCACCTTCCACAAGATTTGTGTGGTTAGACAAGGTTTCACTCGTGACCAAGTGGAACTCTTAGCGGCGGGCGAAGACTGGAGCTGCAGCAAGTGCTCTGTCCCCCAGCAGCACACGAATCCGAACACCGAGTACACGGTGGAACCCTCTGAAAGGAAGACTGCCACCAGCAAAGACTCACTGCAGATCCTGCAATGGAAAGCCGACAGCATCAAACTGAAAGTTGGCGAACTGTCCGAGAGAATGAAGGAACTCAACGTTGATATTGCCCTCATTCAGGAGTGCAAATTACGAGGGAAGGACAAGACCCCTAGCATCAAGGGGTACAGTTCTGTGAGAGCGGACCGACCAGTCGAACGACAAGGAGGTGGGCTGATAGCCTACAATAAGGACGACATCGCCTTCGAGATCCGCCGCTGCTGGAACAAACAGACTGGGAACGTGGAGTCATCTACTGAGCAAGAAGATTAGGCTGAGCAAGAAGAAGTGGATCACGCTCACCAATCTCTACATCCCGCCGAACAGAGAGACAGGAACTGAAGAAATTCTGAACCTCGACAACCTTCCAAGCAGTTGGGACTGCTTTGTGGCCGGAGACATCAACGCTCACTCCTCCCTGTGGGACCCGCTGCAACCGCAAGACAGCAGAGGCGATCGCATTGAGGAGTGGCTGGCGGAAAACAATCTGTTGTGCGTCAACGACGGCTCGACCACTCGCGTCAACCGAGGCACGGCAGGAGAGAGCACCCGGACGCTTTCTTCGTCCCCGCTGAGTGGCGAGAGAGAACGGAGTGGAGCGTAGGAGTATGCCTCGGGTCAGACCACCTGCCTATGCTCATTAGCATTCGCTGCACTGTGAGCACCTTCCAGCAGATGCCGCAGCAAGCACGCTGGAAAACGATGGAAGTGAACTGGGCCGACTTCACCGCAGCCGTAGAGGAAGACATAAAGAACTGGACCAAGGAGCAATCCGTCCACACGAGAGCAAGACGCTTCACGGAGTCCCTCATCATGGCCGGTACATGGCAAGCACAAGAAATACGGGATGTCAGCCGACATCCGAGGACTAGTTAAGAAGAGAAACAAACTTCGCGAACAGGTCCACACCCACCGCGAAGAATGGGTACAAGCCTGTGGCGAAGTGGCTAGAGCCGTGGAAAAAGAAAAGGAAGAGGAATTAGTGGATTTCTTGGAGTCGCTCGAGTCTCCTAGCGACTAGAAGAAAGCATGGAGAGTGATTAGCTTGTTCTCCCGACTCCTGTTCTCCCAACGAGGCGATCAGGAGAGGTGACACTATCATCGTCTCCAATCACGCTGAAGCTGACGCCTTCGCCGCCCACTACGCAAAGATCAGCAAACTGGACTCACCAAACTCAGAGAAGCAAAGAGATGGATGCAAGCCCCTAGCGCAGACGAATGCGCGGCAGCCGACTTCAACATGGATGACCTGAACCGCGCCATCAAAAAGATGAGAAGCAGAGGTGCCGCAGATCCTGATGAGGTCCCGCCGACGTTCCTCAAGGCCCTCGGTCCGGCCGCGAAAGAGGAATTGCTGTCCATCTTCAACCAGTGCTTCAACGATGCTGAAGTGCCACAACCCTGGAGGAACGCCACCATCATCCCTTTGCTCAAGATGGGGAAACCTGCTAGCAATATCGAGTCCTTCCGCCCTGTCAGTCTGACCTCTTGTACGGTCAAGACCCTGGAACAAATGATAGTGCATAGACTCTACCACTTCGCTGAAGCCCGTGGCCTCTTCTCTCATACCCAAGCAGGCTTTAGGAAGAACAGAAGCTGTGAAGACCAACTTCTTAGAATGACCCAAGACATAAGTGCCGAAGAGGACGGTCATGGCGCTCCTCGATCTGTGTAGAGCGTACGACCGCGTGTGGAAGGAAGACCAGCTCCTGTCCCTGGTAGACGGCGGAGCTCCATTGAAGATTGTGCGCTGGTTCCACGCTTTTCTGAGGAACAGGCAGTTCAACGGGAGCCTCAGCAGAACGAGATGGCTCATCCACGGCGTGCCTCAAGGAGCAGTTTCATCCCTCCTCCTTTTCCTGTTTTATATCAACACCATTGCCGACAACCTCCCCGACGAAGTCAGAAACTCCATTTTTGCAGACGACCTCACCATCTGGGCTGGCAACAATCAGAAGGTAGAAACGTGAGACAGCATCCAAAGAGCGGTCAGAACTATTGAAGAGTGGTGCAGAAAGAAGATGATGACCCTGAGCGATAAGAGCGTTGTCACGTTCTTCTCGAATGGCTCTGGCGACGCGAAGTGGATACCAAGAATCACCTCATGAACGGTCTCCCTCTCAAGTTTGACCCAGCCCCGAAACTCCTCGGGATCAACATGAGCAGAACCTTTTCATTCCAGTCTCAGGTCGACAAAGTGGTAGCGAAGGTTCAAAAGAGAAACAGCATCCTCGCATGCCTTAGCACGTCACATCGGGGCTGGAAGAAGAAACCGCTTCGCAAGATCTTTCTGCGGACGCAGCGTAGCGCGCTAGACTACGCGGATCCTGCCTGGCAGCCGTGGCTGGCCAACACCCAGCTCGAGAGACTTGACCGAGCCCAAAACCAAAACTTACACCGCATTACTATACAGACAGCTTCCTGCCCCCTAGAAGCCCTTCACCTCGAATCCGGTGTCCAGAGCTACACGACCACCTCGAAACGACTGGTCGCGGCTTCGAGAGAGAAAGCGTACAGGCTTCCCCGACATCACCCCGGCGCATCGCTCTCGACGGCAACACCTCCCACAGACTGTGCAGAGACAGCTGGAGGGAGAAGAGCAAAATACTTGAAGAGCAACTCCCCGACGACGTGCAAAAGAGGCTCCCACTTCCACAGATCAAGGAACCACCTTGGAATGGCCAGGACAGACTTTGGAGTGTCTCCACCACCCTAGCAAAAAAGAACAGAAGTGACGACGCCAAAAACAAAGCGATCAGCATCATCAGCAACTCTGATGCTGATTTGGTCATCTATACGGACGGATCGGCAGCCGAAGGTACTAGGAACGGAAGTGCAGGGTTTGTAGTCACGAGAGGGAGCCAAGCGGACCCCGAAGTCTTGCATAGCGTCAGCATCAAAGGCAGGGCTATCACTTCGTCCTTTGAGGAAGAAAGTAAAGCTTTTGGTGCAGCTCTGAAATGGATAGAAAACTCCAACTGCGACCCCGACACCGCCATCATGATTTTCACAGATAGCCAGTCCCTTGCCACTGCTCTCGAAGGCGACGGACCTGAGACGTCTGATCTCAGGCTCACTTTGGACTTCCTCAGGTGCCCGATCAAGATCCAATGGATTTCAGGCCACATGGGTATTCCAGCATGCAATCTCACAGACGAATCCAAACCAATCACTCTGAAAAGTGCGATTTCTACAATTAAAAGATCCTTCAAAGACCCTCCTCCAAGATGCTCGGACGGCTGCAACCTATGCAAACCTGTCTACATCACGAGACGAAGAAACTATTCTTAGCCGCAAAGACGTTACGATGATTGCGCGCTTGAGATCTGGCGACAGCTTGAAATTGGCAGCATATCGGCACCTCATGAACCCCGCCGAAGACCCCACCTGCCCATCCTATCTCAAGATCCACACGGAATTACGATGCTGGCGAAGAGATGCTTTTATGAGCTCCCTTCGGCATAACCACAAATAACCACAACAACAACAGCAGCAGACTTCGCATCACGGTTGATTTTCTCGGACATCCTCAATTCTGAAATCGAAAGGAGATGGATTTTGATTAAACCAAAAGCGCACATAGATTGCAAGCATCAGGGTGAAAATAAAGGGTACGCAAAAAATTAACAACAAATTTATAGGTCGGCGAAGCCCTATACACTGGCCATCCCAGAATCCGAATGTTAACAACCGTACTTTTTCGCTCGAGGATCATTTGGGTGAAAATTGTGCATCGCGGAATTCTACGAACTTTTGAAGTACTCGTGCAAAGAGTACAACAGGCCTAGAATACAATAACGGCCGATAATAATGAGCAATCATTGAAAAGTTTGAACAAAGATTACAATTATCTGTTGAGCAAAATGCCGGAAACTTCCAACATCTCAACAAAACAACTTTATCAGACATTCAAATCTCCGTCTCTTGTCTCTCTTCTGCAAAAAAAAATTAAATTTATTTCTTCTCAGAAAAATCATAGCGTTTATATAACTACAGTTTGAGCAAGTTTAAACAGTTTGAGCAAGTTTAGAGCAAGTTTAAACGCTTAGAACATGTAGTTTAGAGCAAGTTATTTGCCTAGAACTAAGCAAAAACCGACTGTCTATATAGTAATTTTGTGCATTTGAACTTCATTATATCATGATTGCTGGATGCCCATTCTTATACTTATTGCCGAAAAATTGCTTTCATTTATCTTAATTTGCCGACAGTGGCTTTTACCTTAGCACGAATAGCGCAATAAACAAAATAAAAACAAGAAAAATTATTGTAAGTAGTTATTTTGCTAGCAAATTAAACATGAATCTTCACACTAACAGATTAACAGATTCCTCGCAAAATGCGTGCTCCTTTAGAAAAGCTCTTTCCAGTAAAAAAAACTAATGAATTCTATTTAAATAATGCGGATTCTGCGACAGTTCACATAATTTGAATGATGTATTTATTGTTTGCGCAAACTTTTCGACTCCACAAAATTTTTTATGAAATCTGCAAATTTTACTGCTTGAGAAAAAGTTGTTAGCACAAATGAGTTTGATTTTTTTGTCTCTGGATGTTACCACAAAAATAACATCAAAAAATTGCCTTGGCATCCAACCTCGTTGCGAAATCCTTTTCCAATCTCAAAAGAAGCAGTTTGACCTCAAAATTAAAATTTACAAATATTTAATTTTTTGAAAGCATGCGCTGATTTAATTTTTTGCAGCAGAATTAGACTGAACAGAAAAAATGTCTGATGAACTTTGTCAAATGTTAGATTTAAAAAAAATCAGTTTTTCAACCGTTTCAGTCGAGATGGGACGAGCAAGTATGCATGAACATAATTGGCCAGATAGACTTCGGCCAAGGGTATTTCATCCTGGACGGAGCTTATGAAGGTACTAGATTTCCATTTGCATTTCCACCTCTTGGAGATTCCACCGAAGTTCTGGTAATCTCGGGTCAACGAGTTCAACCAGATCTGACCTTCAACAGGTTCTTACAGAACGTGGTTTGCAAAGAGAAGCCGAATTTTTGCGAAACAAGCACGTCAACAACTACACCTGAACAAGAAGATGTGAGAAAAAGATTGTTCCACGATATTTGAAAAAAGATAAAGCAGATTTAAACGCAGTTTCAAATTTCATGTTTCGAGTACTGAAACGCGGAAGTAAATTCGATATGGCGTGGTTTTTTTTTTCTTTTTTACGAAGTAATTTGACACTTGAGCCAGATTTGGTGCAGTGACTTTATCGATTAAAATTATGTAAATGGTAATTCGAGCAGCAGTTACATTTTTCTAATATGACTAAAATTATACATAAAACTGCTCAAAATTTTACAAAAGTACGGAAAATTACGTTTTGAGTTTTGCGCTGTGATTGAAACAAACTTAATTGCAGAACAACAAATGTTTGCCTGAAAGTTTATTTTAATCCAAAATTTTACATTGCAAAGCAATAAACTTTTGAAGTAATTTGTTTGAAAATTGAGAGTAATTTTCAATCGTTTTTTACAATGTTTCCTGCACTGCTTGCGTTAAGTTATTCAAAAATGAGCCCAAAAAACCGTGATCCATAAATCCCTCAAAACTGAAGCTAATCATTGTTATCAGCGACCTAAAATTACGTTGGAGATTTTTTTGTAAAGAAAGTGCAATAGCATACCTGCTTTGTTTTCAGACAAAAAATTGTCGTTTTGTGGGAATCAAGCTTCGAGATAAAGTTCAGGTTTTTCAGTAGTCTTGTAATTGAGGATATAAATTTTAAAATATAACATGATTTTTCGTATCAGGACACGGCTCTGAATGTACCGACTCTCCTTTCGGGTGATTGAAGTTAATTTAGATTGGTTTTTTTAATCTCAAATTTTGAAGTATATGAATTTTTGAATTTGAATTCATTTTATTTATCGTTTTTAATAAAATTTTAGTCAAACACAATTTAGAAAAAACATCTGAGCTGGTGTATTTTGCAGTATTTGCTACGCGTTAATGGTAGTTTGAAACTTTCGGTAAAATCGGTGAAATTTTTCTACTTCAAAGTTTCTGTGCGTTTAAAAAATCATCTTTTTTTGTTTTCTCAATTTTGAGCTCAGGCGTTAATCTTCTTCAGACTTAAAATCGAATTTGATCGGAAAATGCTAATTTAAAATTCGAAATCGGTCTGCACTGCAAAAAACATACTCAACCTGAGTACAAATGTTCCAGCCATTTTTATATCTGAAGAATGATTAACAAGATCGGTTTGGAGAGCTCTGAAAAGTAATTTGGTTAACCTTAAAAGGCAGCAGACAATTTTTTTTGAACATCGGAACCCTTCTACAATCGAAAAAACCGAATTACACATGTGTGGTAAGCTGTTCTTTTTTGGTATAATAACAAAGGTATATACACAGTAAAATTGTACCAGATTTTGTACAAGTTACAAGTTGAAGTTATGACTTTTAACGAACAGCTTCACTAAAATATGACAACCTTCAAAGATCGTGTTTTTCTAATCACAGCATTTAGTTATCCGTTATTTGCGCAAACTGGGCTCATTAATATCCTATAACACAAAAAACAACCACTTGAAAGAAGTTAAAATTTTGAAGATCTTCTGTGCTAATTGCTTATTAAAGGGGGTGCCACTTGCGAGGAACAAGGAAAATATATTGCGATGAAGATATGCGTTTTGAGGAATTGATTTAGCCAATAAAACTCAAAAATAGTGGTAATTCAAGGTAAAGAACGGTAAATGTTCCGAAATTCATGTACTACGATTCAAAACTGAAAAATTTACGTCGAAAGTTGTTTGGAAGTTTTTTGTGTAATTGAAACTGTCTAACATTAAAAAAAAACTTTTATACGGTTACTGGACATATAAGTTGCAAATTTTCGGTTTCAACGAGCAACTGAATGAATTTTGACATATGCATATTTAAACTTTTTAGAAGAAAGTAGCCACGCTATAATTTAACTTAGCGGAAATCTTATTTCGGAGGCGTAAGCTTGTTAGTATATCAAAACTAGTTTTAGTGGTGTTCTTGCCGTGGAAACATCCTCGCAAATAACAAAGAGAATTATTAGGCTCAAAGGAGTTCATTGGGAAATTGACGAGCTTGAATTACACCGTATGCCGCCATAAAACGACAAAAAAGAATTGATTGAGTTTCTTGGTCCGGCGTCAAAAAACGGTCGAATTTGTTTTGACGACACTTACATTAAATTTCTTTTCAGCTTATACTAAAAAAATCAAAAAAAAAATAAAATTTACACATACCATACCTGCTACTGAGAATCCTACCAATAAGTGAGGCAGTATTGTTTCCAAAAAAATAGCTGGAAAAATTTTTTGTTGATCTATTTTTATCCTCAGCGCAAAATTAGTCAAAAATGTAAGCCGTTTTTTGACGCCGCGTCGAGTAATTTTTTCGATTCTGCTATTTGTCATTATCTGGAGGCATAGAGTGTAAGTGAAGCTCATCTGCCTCCCAGAAAAACAATTTGAGCTCATTAATTCACTTTTCTCATTTTGTTTGCGAGGATGTTTCCAAAACAAGAGTACCTCTAAAACTAATTTTGAGGTAATGGTTAGTTAATGTCTTCGAATCAAGAACTCTAAAATTTGGCCCGCTAAGTCCATCTAATAAATTTAATCCTAGGTCAAAGTTCGGACTCAATGTCTTAGACAAATGCAGACAAAACAACAAAAACGCGAAGAAAAAGATCATTCAGTTGCCGCTAAATCAAAAAGTTGCAACATCTATGCCCCGTGGCTGTACAATGCTGGCTTAAAGTATTCGATCAAAACGAATGAACCTTGGAGTTGTTTTTCTCAAGTAGGGTTGACAATTGACAACAGATGATGAAGACAACTTGCTTGAAGGCCAAATCATATGCTGAAACCTAATTTAAAAGATTCGGGAACGAAATTTTATCTGAAAACCGAAAACCATTGGCTGTTTAGTCAATCAAATTTAACGCCGAAGCTACCGGGCACATAATTGAAACAAAAATATGTCACAGTTAGCTGCCTAAGTGAACAAAAAAGTTTTAGGAAGAATAGATTCTCTAACATATAAAATAAAACGTTTTTTTATTGTTTTCATATCAAAACTAGAATGTTTTAAAATAAAAGTGTTACTTTTTGGCTATCAAACAAAAATGAAAGATTATGGTCCGATAAGAAATTGTTTGGCTACTTAAGATACTTATTTTGTCTTACGTTTGTTATTAAATGTTGCTGTAGATTTGGTGTTATTAAAAAAGCGACCAATGATTGATTTTAAATTAAAAGTAATACTGCTAAAACTAAAAACTGTTTTAGCCGTAAACAACTTCCATAGTGATTAATTTTATTTCCAAATGAAACAAAACTGCTCGTATCAGAAGCCCTGAATGTTCCGATTGCCTTTTAAGGTTTTATGGAACAGTAATAACATTTAAAAAAATTATTGAAATGAAATAAAATGAAACTTTTTTTTTCTAAAATTAGATTTTTTTTTGAAAATCATCCACCCACACGCCATATAAAGTACAAAAGGCTAGATTTTGCTCCTTGTAACAAATCAATTATGGCAATTAAGCTTCTTTCAACCAATTTGGAACAATTTTAAGACGGATTAACTCTCCGCTTGCGCGTTAATAGCGCGAAAAATATCGCGCGTTAATTGTCCTAAATTGGCCAAAATTGCAATCTTTAAACCCCCATAACTTTACGAAAAAGATCACAGGGGAAATATCTTTTCAAATCTGAGCTCAAGACAACAATAGCTTTCAAACAATATAAAAAATACCGTCAAAAATGGTAAGTTAAAAAGTCGAAATTTGTCTGAAGAAAGAAAAAACCCACCCCGAGCACAAATATTCCGTTACTTTCGTATCGAAAGTCGGAACAATTATTGTTTTTTTAACAATTTCAGTCACACGGAAAGTTTTCAACCAAATCAAAATAAATTTCTTTGTGGATTGAATTGTTGAGCCTGTACACGCGAGTTAAAGGAAGCGTCCACTTTAGAGATATTTAAAATTTTCGGATGAAACAAAGAAAAGTTATCAGGAGATATTTAATCCTTTTGTATACAAAATGTAAATATTAAATTAAAAACAAGACTGCTCGTATCAGGGCGAAGCCCTGAATGTTCCGACTGCCTTTTAAGATTTATGGAGCAGCAGTAATAACATAAAAAAATTGAATGAAATAAAAAAAAATGAAATTTTTTTTTCTAAAATTTGAAATTTTTTATGAAAATCATCCCCCCACACGCCATATAAAAAACAAAAAGAGAGATTTCGTTTCTTGTAACAAATCAATTATGGCAAATAAGCTTCGTTCAACCAATTTGGAACGATTTATAAGACGGATTAAATCTCCGCTTACGCGTTAATAGCGCGAATTTTATCGCGCGTTAATTGTCCCAAATTGGTCAAAATGGCCATCTTTAAACCCTCTTAACTTTACAAAAAATGATCACAGGTGAAATATCTTTTCAAATTTAAGCTCAGGACAACAATACCTTTTGAGTGATATAAAAAAAATTCCGTCAAAAATGACTAGTTAAAAAGTCTAAATTTGTCTGAAGAAAAAAAAAACCCACCCCGAGCACAAATATTCCGTTACTTTCGTATCGAAAGTCGGAACAAAAAATTCGATTCAAACATCAAATGTGGTATATAAACAATTAATAGCCGCCTAGGTTAGATTTTGAGTTTTGCAAAAAATAACGCTTCATTGCTTCAATGGATTTATAGAAGTTCTTGCAAACTGTTTAATGAAGGCTGTTAAAATTTAAAAAAAAGGACGCAAAATTTGAAGCTCTTTTCCTGATACAAAGAACAAGTTTTTGTTTGATTGTAAAGTCTGCTTTTGAGACGACCACAATGATAAGTATATTGTTTGAGATAACTGTAGGAAAGTAAAATATTGGCTGCGAACACTGCAAGCAGTTTGTTGAACCTTCTACGCTGATCTTCTCTCCCTTTGAACAGCTTTTTTTGAGCTTATTCTGACTCTCATACTCTTAAATTTTTCGTTAGTGCCATTCTTTGACTTATGTAACCACGAAAATGACGTATATCACCGCCGCTTAAAATAACTTATAACAACATGACCAAATCTTGTAGCCAGAACGCAAGATTACTACCGCTCTGTCGCTAGTGTCCAGAAATGTCAAGAAACTATCATTGAGTATTTTTTCCCATTGTTTTCAATCAAAGCGCTTGATTTTTGCAGTGTGCGAACTAACCAGTTCCTGCACAGATCACCAAAGTTCCTGTTTCTCTGCGCATATTTACT